ACTGTAACAATTACCTCGATGTCCTGCATGCAGACGTTGGGAGGCCAGGCTCCTGACACTGCTCTTATTGCCCTTCCCTCCATCTGCAGGTGGTCCGAAGCAGCCTGGAGGAGCAAGGACTCCGCGTGCACAGTGTGCGACTGCATGGCTCAGCCGCTAGCCACGTGCTGCACCCTGAAAGTGGCCTGGGCTATAAGGACCTGGACCTGGTATTCAGGGTGGACCTGCATAGTGAGGCATCCTTCCAGCTGACCAAGGCAGTGGTGCTGGCCTGCCTGTTGGACTTCCTGCCAGCCGGCGTGAGCCGGGCCAAGATTACACCACTCACACTCAAGGAAGCATACGTGCAGAAGCTGGTGAAGGTGTGCACAGACACAGACCGCTGGAGCCTCATTTCGCTGTCCAACAAGAGTGGCAAGAATGTGGAGCTCAAGTTCGTGGACTCTGTGAGGCGACAGTTCGAGTTCAGCGTCGACTCCTTCCAGATAATCCTAGACTCCCTCCTGCTCTTTGGCCAGTGCTCATCCACCCCCATGTCTGAGGCCTTCCATCCAACTGTGACAGGTGAAAGTCTGTATGGGGACTTTGCAGAGGCCCTGGAGCACCTGCGGCACCGTGTCATCGCCACACGCAGCCCTGAGGAGATCCGTGGCGGTGGCCTCCTCAAGTACTGTCACCTCCTGGTGCGGGGTTTCCGGCCACAGCCCAGCACTGATGTGTGTGCCCTACAACGGTACATGTGCTCCCGCTTCTTCATCGACTTTCCCGACCTGGTGGAGCAGCAGCGCATGCTGGAGCGCTACCTAGAAGCTCACTTCGGCGGGGCCGATGCAGCCCGCCGCTATGCCTGCTTGGTGACACTGCACCAGGTGGTCAACGAAAGCACCGTGTGCCTCATGAACCATGAGCGCCGCCAGACACTAGACCTCATTGCCACGCTGGCACTCCAGGCACTGGCTGAGCAGGGCCCAGCTGCCGCTGCTGCTCTGGCCTGGCACCCCCCAGGCCATGATGGGATTATGCCAGCCACTGTCAACTACTACGTGACCCCTGTGCAGCCCCTACTGGCTCGGGCCCACTCCTATCCCACCTGGCTGCCTTGTAACTGACTATGACCCTGGCCAGAAGGGACTGGGCCTCATGGGCTGGGGTGGGGTCACCAGGACTATGTGGAGGAAATGGCGAGAGACAAGCAGGCTGTGCCAGCCAGCCCAGCACTCCTGCAGGGTTGGGCCTTCGATGGAACACAGCAGACTTCACTGAAGGAGGCCTCTGTGGGCTTCAGGCCAAGCCAGATTCTTGGCAGGAGGACCCTTTGGTTTCTGCACCACATTTTTGGATCAGCATTATTGCGGGGCTACTTGTTTTGAGGGTCCATTGCCTTTAGGAGACAAAGCAAGTTTAGGAGGTAGCCTCAGTGTTGAGCACCCTGGGTTTATTTCCATGGCCTAGAAAGAATCTTTTGACTAGGGTCAGCCAGCCCAGAGACTGGTATGTGATGAGGGTGACTCACTTTGGGTCAGGCTGAACCACTGAGTCTGGTGGCCCAACCTGGCTAATCACTTGGGGGAGGGAAACTGAGGCATAAGGCAAATACCTGGGTTTGGGGAGGGAGTGTTTGACCCAATCTCCTGAAACCCATACCCCAAGCTGTGAAGCCTTCCTCTTGAGGGGCGGGGAGTATGCAGTGGGCCAGAGGTGTGCAGCTAGGAGATGTAGTCCGACCCTCCCAGTGTGTCCTTCTTTCCCTTGTATGGTGAGAAGCCCTGCTTGCCTGGGAGCTTGTCCTTTGGAAGGTGCTGGGCCAAAAGTTTCACAGGCAATTTGAGTTGTCCCACCCCACTGGCTTGGCTAGAGGACTCTGACACGCGGGGGAGCCCTACCCTCACCTCCTTTTCCACTCCTCTGGGTTCATTGCTATTTTGCACTGTTACCACCTACCAATAAAAATTGTCTACACTGAGCCTTGGGAGAAGGATCCTCCCAGTCTGAGTCTGGCTTCTATCTTGGGAGGGGAGGTGGGGTCTGAGGTCTGGACATAGCTGCAGGGTGGCCCCGCCTTCCCTTTGCACCAGCCCCAGCCTAACAGCTTGTGTCTTTCAGTGTCCTGCACCTGCAGCTTGTTGAGTCTAGGATTCTCTCATTAAAGATGAAATGTTTCAATTGCCCCAGGTTTCCTACCTAGGGTCCTAGGAGCCCCAGATCTTGCCTCATACTGCAATGCCCAGGGCTGCTTAATTCCCGCTCTGCCCAGAGCAGGTGGGGAACTCACTGGATGAATCTGGAGTGAAGGACCCTCCAGTCATGGTAGCTGAGACTGGGAGACTTCTTGGGTCCCCTAGAGTCCAGGTAGGGTCCCCCATCTAGGAGAGTCTCCCTCAATCCTCCTCCTTCCTTTCCACCTACAAGTGCTCTGAATAGCAGGTCCCCTGGGAGGGACAGGGTCTTTGCTTTCTGAACCCAGCTGGGGCCAAGCCAGGTTCTCTGGGGGAGCTATTCCCTCAGGGCATCAGCCACTCAGCCCTGGACGCTGCCCACTGTTTACCTGGTCTCTTTGATCCAGGGATTGCAAAGCCCTTAATATTTAGCCTCATTAGGGGCCTCTGAAGTGGTGACTTTGATGGTTCCAGCCAGGGTGGGGAAAACAAGGCCCCAAAGGAGACCTCAGGTCATCAAGGTGAGTCCAGCCACCTCACCTATTCTGTGGGTTCCTGCTGGGCTCTAAGGGGCTGGCAGGGCACTCACAAGGCTGATGACAGCAAAAGCCTCCCAGCAAGCCCAGCCAAGCCCACCCAACTTGGGTCCTGGGAGGAACAAACTTCGTCCCACCTCCCAATTTGACCATTTGAGCCCGGGCATGAGAGGGACTCAGTGTAAGCAGCAGGTTCAGGTTGTAGGAGTGGAGCTCACCTGGAGGTGCTTGTTTTAGGAGGTGAGAAAATCAGAAACCCACGCAGCACACACGTGTACACACTGCATCTAGCCTGTGGGTGCAGGTTACTGTTCTGGTGTTGGGACTACATCAGACAAGACAGACACCTCTGCCTTTGTGAAAATACATTCTAATGAGGTAGACAAAATAAATCCTGTGGTCTTAGGTCAGGGATGCATAAAGATATATATAGCTAAGCAAGGGATTAGAAGAGCTAGGGTTTGCAAATTTTAAGACATCAAGGTGCACCTCATTTAAAAAACGACATGGGTTGAAACAAAGACATAGGCAGTGGGAAGCAAGCCACAGGACTGCCTGAGGAAGAGTGTTCCAGGCCGAGGGGACTTGTGGATGCACATGTTTGCACGTCTGAAGGAGGGTGCATGTGCTTAAGGGTGTCTGGCTGCCCCTGGGCAGTGGGTGTGCTCGCTGGTGCCCAGGTGCCTGCTTGCACCAGCATGAGGAAGCCGGGGCGTGTGAGACAGGAGTCCTCAGGAACAGCTGCTATCTGGCCTGCGCTTTACTCCAGGCCAGGCACCAGGCCAGGCACTCAACTCCGGTCTTTCCAATCATTCTCATTCATCCTGCAACTCCACAAGAGAAGAGCAAGTGTTTCCACTTTACACATGAAAAAACTGAGGTCAAGGAGATCTGTCTGGGGCTGGGGATGTGGCTCAGGCGATAGCGCGCTCTCCTGGCATGTGTGCGGCCCGGGTTCGATCCTCAGCACCACATACCAACAAAGATGTGTCCGCTGAGAACTAAACAATAAAACATTAAAAATTCTCTCTCCTCTCTCACTCTCTCTTTAAAAAAAAAAAAAAAAAAAAAGGAGATCTGTCTGACTCCTCTCCCTACACTGTGATTTCATGTGGTTGATCATGATGGTGTCTCCTGTACATATATGTGGCAGGGCATGCTTGACATTATTGTCACATTTGTCATTTTCCTATGATTGACTGGCATAGTAGTCTGCCAAGATGTACATTTTCTTGCCATGGCTTGTGGTGACTGTCCTGGACCCACGGTGGCAACAGCATGCCTGTGGGTGTGTTTGGGAGTGGTGCAGTTTCCGGGTTTGAGAAAAACACTGACTCAGTGGCTGACATTATTTCTCTGTGGACAATTCCTGCAGCGACCTGATATGTCAGGACAGGTGGGAATCAAGAACTAGGATCAGAGCCAGTGAGGAGCTGAGGGAGAAAGCTCCTGTCCTTTCTTCCATCTTCTCTGGAGCAATAACAACCCACCTAGGCTTTCCAGAGGGAAGAAACAGTGCTATGGCTGGCCCCTCCAGATCCACTCTCCATCATCCTCAGGCCTGTCCCTGGGGAGGCTGCCATCTACCTAGGGCATTAATGGCTCCCTTGTTCCCTGGCTTCCTGACACTTGACAAGAGAGGCCCTGAGGAGACAGGAAGGAGGAAAGGTTTATTCCCCCTGGTCCAGGTTATCATGGTTGGCCACAGTTGCCTCCCTTGCCCCTTCAGGCCCAGGAGACTAAAGTCTTTCCACCTTGGAGCCCCCAGACATGCACCATCCCTGGCTAATTTCTTTTCCTTCCCTGTTGGTTTGTTTCCCGTGCTGAGGATGGAACCCAGGGCCGCATCATGCTAGTTACATGGAGCTACAGTTAGTCAACTTGTTAGTTTCTCAATTAATAAGCCCAGCACCCACTGTTGGAAAAAGTACTTGCTAAAACTTCCCAGTTTGAGTGTGCCTATCTCCTCTGGGGACCTTGCTAGACAAGCAGTCACTAACAACCCCATAGGCTGTCATGATGCCATGTTATCAATAATGGGGACAACCTCCCACCTCGTCATACAATCTCACACACACATTCCTGTCCCTCAGTTTCCACATCAGATCTTTTAACTGAGGTGACTTCTTTGGGAGGGTGAACTGTGAACCAGGTCAAGGAAGGTATCGGTCTCTGCAAACCAGTTGACAGGCACAGACAGCCAAATTAAACAGAATCTGCTCATGGAACTGTCAACTGAAAGAGCGGTGACAGACACAAAGGGAAGGCAGCAAAGACACTTGCAAAGGGGACCTCAAAACCACACACCTTGGCCTCATATTATTGAAATTTATTCTTCCTGAATGCATATGTCAGGGGACTGATTCAATATCCATTTGCTTGCAGAATTTTACAAGTTCTGAGCTGTATGTGAATAAATGTGCACTTTCCCTCTTTAGCAGGATACTTTATGAATAAATATATACTCTTCTTGTATTTAAAATGTTGCTTAGGAGTTTTATGTTGCCACTACCTCTTCCAGAGAAAGGGGTGTGTCCCCTGGGAGGCAGCAGCTGATTGTCTTGAGGGGCCCCAGGCACACCCTCATATGGGGAGAAGAGGACAGTGGGCAGGGAAACAGGCATTTCTCAGACCAGGGATTTCCCTCAAACATCAGATTCAGAAGCAACTGATATCTACCAGATGGGGACTCCAACTGTTCTGTGACTTAAGAATGATAACTTTACCTTTAAAGAGAGGTCCTTTTTGTTGTCACTTTGAAAATGTTTGCTACACTCTCAAATAATCTGAGGGCCCTGTGTTACCATCTTCAATCATACAGAGCAAAGCCAAATGTGGTGCATGTAGAGAAATTCATAGTGTGTGGGCAAGTTCCCCAGAACCCAGCCCTTTGCCATGGTGAAGTGGTGGCTCCAGACAGGAGGGCACTGAGGTCAGGTAGGGGCAATTCTCAAAGTCTTCCTGAAGGTGTCCAGGGAAGAAGCAGAATCTAGGAGTTCAGATCCATAGAGTAGAGGCTCTGAGGAGCTAGGAGGAGCTGGAAAGAATAATTCCAAGAGTTTTAATGATCTCTTTCCCACAGCCACCCAACCCCAGCCCAACACTTCAGCGACTACCTCTGGCACCAGCTTTCCACAAAGGCCCCTCTTAAGGAGGGGCTCAAGGAGAAAGCAGAGGTTCCCTTGGGCCTTTGTCCTTGGCTGGGATCCCCACTGGTCTGAGCAGCTAGAATGGAATGTTCCTGGGATGAAAAGCCTGCCTCTCCTCCACCTCTCCCCTTAAGGAGTTCTCCAGGGCCCAGTGGAAGGGAGGGACGTTCCAGGGATTCCTGATGTGGAGCTGCTCTGCTGTAGAGAAGCCAAGGCCCACCCTGCCCCACAGACTAGAGGCTGTTCTGGCAGCCTCTTCGGGTCTAGGCAGAGTGGTTCCATCATGCACAGACCTCCAATATGTGCTAGGCACTTAGTGGGACTTCTCATTTAACGCCCAGAAGTTAGCTCCATCCTGGGCACCTCCGGCCCAGTACAAAAACAAATAGAAGAAACTGACTTGGAAAAGAGAAGTCATTGCCCCAAATTCCTCAGCTGAAAAGTTTCAGGCCAGTACTGAATCTCAGGTCATTTTGTTCCACCTGGGCCCTTTTTGTACACCAGGGAGTGTGTTACTCTTGTCACCTGCCAGGTGAGAGCCCAGTGATACCCCTGGCAATGGAGCCATCATTAGCATGCCTAATGTTTAAGGGTTCACTTATAGGTTCTATGTCTTTGACTAAGTCATCTGCCCTCCCTGACCCTGGTTATCCTTATCTGTGGGAATGGGGATAACCTTTATTTTGCAGAGTGGTTGGGAGAAAAAAAAAAACAAATAATGGGTGTGAAGTGCTTAGCACAGTGCCTGTCATGGAGGAGGTGGTTAATTTACTATTCCAGACCCAAGGCTTCCCCTCCCTCATCACTCCTGGCCAGGGTGTGGTCAGGGAATAATGGGAGAAGAAATAGGTTGGGAATTTCCCAGCTTTCCTAAATACTTCCTCTCTGGCAAGCCATAAAACTGGGAGCCTCTCCTTCAGTTCTCCAACTCAGGGACACTTGAATTGTTCTCAAGGGATTTGGCTGTAGGGTCGGGCTCCTCCAGGTCACTGCTCACTGCAGGACTGGAGCAGTTTAGACACAACCTCTCAGTTCAGCCTAATCTCTAGGCCACCTCTGTTGCTAGGTGGTGCCAGGACAGGATGTTCTGACCAATTATCATTGTAACAAAATCTATGAATAGCGCCATGGGGACACACCCCTGTAATCCAGGGACTCGCAGATTGAGGCAGGAGGATTGCAAATTCGAGGACAGACTGGGAAATTAAGTGATATCCTGTCTCAAAAAAAAAAAAAAAAAAAAA